TTCACAGCCCAACAAAACTAAAAAAACAAACAAAAAGACTGCTTCTCCTTTTGTCTTACAAACACTATTGTCTTTCTGAGTCCTAATCTATAGAGATTAAAACCTCTAACCAAGAGGGCCTAAAGAGCATTGTGTTCATCAGGAAAGTGAACGAGTATTTACAAAAGCGGCACTACGTTACATATATCTATGAGGAAAAACTATATATGATTAACAAGAATCATCCAAAACTTGTCATTTTAATCAGAACAAGAGCCCTATTATCTTGGGCCGTCTTTCCTTTTCCTTTACAAGCTTTTTAACAAAACCTAGGGGTTCTAGGAGCCTACCTCTACTTCTGGCTAATAGATAGCCTTCAAAGACATCAACTTACAATGCATATCAGAATTTCTGGACTAAAGCTGCAGGAGATAGTTATATTACTATTGGTGACCTGCGGAGATGAAATTGTTAATATTGCAAAAACGACTTTCAATTATGAGCTACTATCCTGGATTGGCTGTAAGGCACCTCTGTCTTCGATAGAGTTTGCGTTCAAGATCTTCCTAAGAGAACGATATTGCAAGCGAACATTCTCACCACTTTCAATGATTTTAAGCAGATACCTGCACGAGCGTGATTACAGATATTGATATGATTTTAGCAAAAACTATCAACTAAGGCTGTATAACATTTCTCTAATTAGCCAACTAAAGATATCTACAACCAAAATTTCCTAGTAGTACCCAAGGATGCAGGCACTACTTGTGACATAAGTTCCAATTCAATCCATAATGGCAGGCTATTTTTAACTTTACAGAGCTATAGAAGTACACTTTCCAACCAAAAAAAAAATAGCAGGCCCTACATGTAGATAACATTTAGCTGCAGTGTCAGAAATATACCAGCCATTGAGACATTGAGATGTGATGACTGCTTCTTTGCCAACAAACTTCACTGGTGTTCTTCGGTTTCCCTGCACAGTTCAGTTGTCACTCATAGATCATATAGCATACTGGAACTGGTCAATATCAACAAGTGAAAATAAAAATGAAAAAAGAACGCTCACCATTATTATCACCTTCTCATTAACAGAAAAGGGATACTGCACACCCTTATTGAGTCCATCATCAGTAGCAATTTCTCCATTTTCCTTTTAGATAAAATACATAGCTGACATAAACAAAATTACCCAACAGAATTCATGTGTGTGTGTATATATAGCATTAGGAAACAAGATATTTTCCCAATCAAAATGAGAGTTTCATCAATAATAATATTAAAACGTTATCCCCCATATACGCATGCAAATTCCTACTTTTTTCAAAAAGAAATTATTTATCTATTATGATAGTTGGACTCTGTTCCAGAGGCTATAGGAACCAAAATTCTTGTATGAGGATGTCAAGGTACTTGCTCATGCATCAGCTTTAGTGAGGTTAGAGAGGGGAAAGATAGAAAGAATGAGAATCAGTGGGAGGAAAGAGAGAAGCAGAAAGAATAGGGAAGGGATAGAAGGAAAAGATGAGCTAATTGATAATTCTTCAAGTGATTTCATCAGAGATTGAGCATACATAAATATAGAATATCGCAGCCAATCAGAGGTGGCTGATAGTGGTATATTCCTCAGGTACACCATAGCTGTCACTTGTCCACCCCTTAGTACGCTTGGACAGAACAGAAAATTATGAAGATCCTTAGAAAAACCCTAACAGAAAACTAACAGAAACTAACATTCAATTCTATTTCATTCCCCCCAACACTATTTGCTAACATTTCCTTTACCTTGCTGAAATACTAGAGTTTGAGTGATGGGAGTTGCCTCTTGAGAAATGCCCAGTCCTTCCAGGTGGAATCTGGACCTAATTGAGCCATTTGAATCAAAAACTACTCCACTGGTCTGTTGCGGCAATTGATTACTCGCCTTTGCATAATCATTTCAAACTCCACTCAAATCTTCCCTTCTGTGTTTGTGATAGAAAGGTCATGACTGGTAGGAACTGAGCTGCCTTCATACCTCCTCTGCATAGATACATAAAAAACCGGGTGGATGGTGGCTCCTGGTGAAAGGCTCAACTTGTATATGACAAGAGCTATCTTCGTTTCTACCTTGAACGGCCCATAGGACTTGGGAGCTAACTTCAAGCCCCTTCAAATTGTATTTGTTAATTAACTGAATGGTTGAAGTTTTAGAAAAACTAGATATCCTTCCTGAAATTCCCTTTCAGTGCTCTTATAGTCGATCACCAGCTTCATTCTGTTCTGGGACCCCAGAAGATTCTCCCTCAAAATTCAGTTCATCTCCTGCCTCTTTCCCGTCCAGTCTTCCAGGACTGCCTCAGGTGTGCTCTACTCTTGAGGATCCATTATTAGGGAGGCTGATAACCATAAAGTGCTGTGAATGGTGTCATTTTGATGATAAAGCGGTAAGTAGTGCTATACTACCCTTCGGCTAGCCCTAAATTTCATCCAGGAGTTAGATTTATGGAAAGCTATGCATCTCAAGTAGTTCTCCAGGCATTAGTTAACCTTCTCAGTTCAGCCATCTGTTTGACGGTAATAGGCTGTGTCTTCTACTCCTAACCATCCTCATAAGTTCCTGCCAGAAGTTTCTTGTATAGATCTTGTCTCTATCTGAGACAATGGAGCTTGGCATGCATGTAACCAGCAGATTTAGAAAGGAAAACTCAGGCCACCTTCTGGGTCGTAAAGGGGTGTGTGAGAGCTACAAATTGCTGTATTTGGCGTATCTGTCAACCATCACCAGTGTTGTATCTCTAACTACTGATTTTAGGAGGGCACAATGAAATCTATTGACTGGTCAAGCCTGCTGGTTCTCCATCTTCCTTCTGGTTCCTTCTTGATCATGTGCAATACCACCTTGTTTTATTTTCTTCATTTTTTTTTGTACTCAGTGGTGTAACTCAGCCTTAGCATCCTCACAATGCTCTCCATTTGGATAAAAGTATGCACCTGCTTATTTAGAAGATGTTTGGTGCTTTCTACACGTTAATTTTCTGCCAACCAGATTTGAGGAATTTGTTGCATTTGCATTGTGTGCTTTTGTGCTTTCAAGCTGTCTTTGGGCTTAAAATTAATTTCAGTAAATCTGAAATGGCCAGGATTGGCGGTGATTGTAGTGCTGAGGTGTTTGCTGAAGTGTTGGGCAGCAGAGATGTCAAGTTCCCTTTTAAATGTATTGGGGTTCTGTTGGGAGCCAAATATAAAGATCAAATCTCTTGGCAACCGGTGATTGAATTGTTCGAAAAAAGGCTAACGGGTTGGAAGAGAAACTTCCTTTTTTAAAGGGGGTAGGTATACCTTAATAAAAAATACCTAGGTCAATCTTCCAATCTACTATCTCTCTACCATCACAATTCCGATGAATGTGGCTAAGAGATTGGAAGCCATACAAAATAGGTTTCATTGGAGTGATGAAGATGGAGATCAAAAATATTACTTGGCAAAATAGGATGATATCAAAAACTCGATCAACCATGGTGGTCTTGGCATAAGATCCATAGTTAAAATGAATGAAGCATTGCAAGGAAAGTGGTTGTGGAGATAATTAGTGGAAGCGGACAGGTTATGGAGAAAAATTGTGAACGCCCGTTGAGGTGATTACATGGGTAAAAGTGCTGGCAGCAGAATTTATACTCCTCAAGGAAGAGGTTTGTGGAGATAAATTGTAATGTTGTGGCCTCAGTTCCAGCAATGCATAAAGTGGAATCTTGGCAGCGGAAACAAGATCAGTTTTTGGAAGGATGACTGGATTGGTGAGGGTTGCCTTAGGAGGAGATATCCCAGGATTTATGCTATTGCTTAAAACAAGAAAATGGCTGTTAGTGAGGCGGGTCAATATGGAGAAAGTTGAATGGCCCGTTGATGTTTCAAGGAATCTGAATGATTGGGAGATTGGTGAATATGAAGATTTACTGAAAAATTTAGAGGCACATCAGATGAAGACTTGTGATAATCAGGCTGTTTGGAAACTGGAAAAAAAGGGGAATTTTTCTGTTACTTCTTTTTATAAGTTTCTGTGTGGTGGGAATGAGAATGACAGTTTGAGCTTTCCGGCTGCGCAAATCTGGAAGACTAAGGCTCCCCCGCGTATTGCATTTTTTGCTTGGGAAGCTTGTTGGGAGAAAATTTTAACTATCGATAAATTCATACTAAAGGGACAGATCCTGGTTAATGGCTGTTACTGTTTTCTTTAGGCGGAGGAAATGTTCAATCATCTCCTATTGTAGTGTCATATGGTTTACAATCTATGGTGTATGGTTTATGATCTTTTGGGGGTTGAGTGAGTTATTGCTGACTCGGTTGGTATGAAATTTGGGCTTGAGATGGTTTATGTGTAAAAAAAATATTGCTAATTTTATTCCACTGGCTGTTTTTTGGGTCTTTGAGAAAGAGAGAAATTATAAAACTTTTGAACGTGTTGAGAGTAGTTTGTATAAAATAAGAGATAGGTAAACTCATTCTTTTGGATCTATTTTGTTTGGTCATGACATTATTAGTGATAAAAATTTTGAGAATCTCATTGATACCTTAACACTATTGTAAATCTTTTGTACATGGGTGGTACCCCCATTTTGGTACCATGTTAATTCATACCGTATACTTTTTATCTAAAAAAAAACAGATGTTTGGTGCTTTCTCTGTCTGTTCTTATAGTGAAAACAACCTCTTCTAAGTGACAACTTTGAGACAGCCATTAAGATTGTCAAGAACTCCAGTTTTTATATGAATAGTATTTGGTGCCTCGGACTCAAAGGTTTCCTTTAGTAGGCAAGGGGCCTCCCTTTTGCAATAACACTGTACCTATGCCCTTTTCACATGCATTGGTTTCCAAGATGAAGGATTGGGAGAAATGCAGTAATGCAAGAACAGGAGATGTCCTGATTTCTTCAAAAGCTACTTCTGCCTTGGGTTCCAAGCAAACCCATTTTTCTTCAACATTTCAGTTAATAGACTGCCTATGGTGTAGTAATTTCTCACAAACTTCCTATAGTATCCTGTCAAATCAAAGAATCCCTACAGTGCTTTCAGACTAGTTGGCCAAGTCCAAGAAACCATGGCCTCAACTTTGGACAAGTTTATTTTCGCTCCCTCTTTAGAAATCAGTTGGCCATAGTACCCTAACTGCTTCTTTCCAAGCAAAAATTAGACTGCTTGGCAAAGAGTTGATGCTGCTGCAAGATTCAAAAATACGGCCTCCAAGTGCTCCCGGTGTTGCTTGGATGAAATTATATAAAAAAAGATGTCATCAAAGAAAACCAGCATTATTTTCAAAGATAAGGTTGGAAAATATGGTTTATGAGTACCTGAAAGGTGGTAGGGACATTTGTTAGCTTGAAGGGCAATGACCTTGAAATCAAATTGCTATGGTGAGTTCTAAAGGCCATTTTAGGAATGTCACATGGCTTGACTCTAATCTGGTGGTAACCTAACCACAAGTCTATTTTAGAGAATGTAGTAGCCTGTGGGGTTCATCTAAAACGTCATCAATCACCGGGATAAGGAATTTATTATTAATGGTAATTGAATTCAGTAGCCTATAATCCTCACAAAATCTACAATTCCCATCTTTTTTTCTTACCAACAGTACCAAGGAGAAGCGGCTGTGGCTTAGTCTGATTATTGATTCCTCAAGCATTTGGGCTACTTGCTTCTCTATTTCTTTTCTTTCTTAGGGTGAGTAGCAAAAGGGCTTTAAGTTAACTGGCCCCAACCGTAGTAGCAGTGGGATGGCATTGTCCAATTCTGTCAGAGAAAGGAGGGAGCTTGGCTCACTAAATAGTCCTTATTACTGCTGCAATAGGATTTTGAAGGGGCTGATTTTCAAGGTTCTTCGTCTCTTTTGGTTTCTGCCCTTCCTCCTATCGAGGAAGTTAACCCTCTGTTTAACACTCTTTCTGCATCATTCTGATGAGGCCCCTCTTGTTCTCTATCATGAAGTCCTATGGTCTCCATGCCATGCAACGAATTCTCCACCTGGCTCATCTTTTAGGCGTCAACCATATTGGATTTGCACTTGTTCATAGCCAATTTGATGGTGGAAGAGGCGGTTCAACAGGTTTAGGTGGCTGTCATACCAGTTTGTCAAAGTACTGGCTCATGGGTAAACCCTAGCCGAGGGTTTTCAAGTAGTGTTCGATCGATTACGTATTAATCAATATTCGATTGATTGGTCTGAGGTTATTGACAAAAAAGATTTGTCTAAGTCACTTCGTTTCTTTTTGTCCAAGTTACTTCTTTTTTTGTTCAAGTTACTTCTCTTTTTGTCTAACTCACTTCCTTTTTTCTTTGTGAGTTTCGAGAATATCCCCATTCAATATAGATGGATATATACTACATAACATATATGTATATTCCTCTTATTCTCATTTTTGTTTGCAATTTAGTGAAATACTCAAACGATCGATTCTTTTTTTTTCGTCTGAGCTTCCATGAAAGAAAACTAAACGGAGAATGTTTCATTCTAATGAGCATTGCATTTATCTGGGTTGCATCTTTCTATTCTATATTCATTTCATTTTATTATTATTAATTAATTAGCAAGGGAAAAGAGAGAGAATGAGAGTGAGAGGAAGAAAAGAGGGAAACAGATAGAATAGGGAAGGACAGAAGGAAAATATGAGATAATTCTGATAATTCTTCACTTATTTCATTAGAGATTTAGCATACATATATATAGAATACCGCAGCCAATCAGAGGTGGGTAACATTGGTAATATTCCTCAGGTACAACACAGTTGGCAGCTGTCCTTCCCTTAGTATGCTAGTGGAAATTTAAAATTATAAGGATTCTTATAAACACCCTAACAAAAGACTAACAGAACCTAATATTCAATTTATTTCATTCCCCCCACTGTTTTCTAGCAGAGTATAACCTCTCTCTCGTTATATTTTCTTTATCTCTTAACAATATCTTCTCTTTGGAAAAAAAAAAAAGAAAATAAGAAAGTATAAGAAAGAAAATAAGATGCCAATGTACATATGTGTCCAGGACAAAAATCAGTGACTTAGAAACAACTAAGATTCTGATGTCTAGTGAGTGCACATGCCCCAGCACTATTAAGAATCAAATCAATGAATCAGTCAGTCAATTGAAAGGTACCCTGTTTGGTCTTCTTGTAGGATCTACTTGATCACCCATTTCTTTCCGACGCTTACGAAGAGCTGCATTATGGAATAGCCTTTTGTCATCCTCATGCTTCACGGCTGCAGCAGCAGCTCTGAGAGCTGTGGATGAAAAGCAAATTTAATACAACATAGAAAAGAATACACAATAAACCTACCACAGTTATAGCATCACGAAGTGCCACTAGTTCTTGACAAAATTAGTGAAGTAGAAAGAAATAGAAGGACAGTAATTTAAGAGAAAGCTGATTAAGTTTAGTGGAATGTACCAAGATTAGGGATCAAAGAGCCAGTCTCAACTTCAGCACTGCAGAGAGTACATCTCGACTGTTATGCAAACAATAATTGTGGTTATCATTCTGGTCTCTTCCCATCTAGAGGTAATAAGCCCATTATACAAAGTAATGAAGCCGATATGATAATGCTAGATAACAAAGGCATCTCAAGAGCAATGGGCTATTATTGAGCACACCAAAAAAAATAGATGAATCTGCATTTATGCACATAACAAAATTAAATGGATTCTAATACAGCAGTGTTCTTCATAAATGTTTCCAGAACTTCAGTTTGAACTGAAACATATTGCCAGCTATCATCAAAAATACCCCAAAAAGAAAAAGAAGTTACTGCAATTATGCACATAACGAATAATGCTACACATCGCACAGTTCGTGAATTTCCATTTATCTCTGACGAGAAAGCAATTTGGTTTAGAAATGTTCAACTATTTATGGAAAACTAGATAATAGTCTGTTTCTTGTTCTTTTCTTGGTTAATCTCTAGAGGTAGAGTCATATTGTCTCACATCGATTAGTTTCAGGTAAATTGTTTTCTTGACTTGTCCCATGAGGGTCTACCTAGGCCTGTCTTTGATATTCTCATCCTTCTAGAATCTAATCACCTCAAGTGGCATCTTACACATTTCATTTTGAAAAGATGTGCAACACCCCCATTTTCTCAATCAGGGGAGAGAAAAGTGGGATACTGCTTCAAGGGAGAGATGGGAAAGCTCTAAGTTGATGAGGAAACTGAAATTTATCAAAAGCAGCTACAAGACTGGAAAAAGGAGGTGTTGGGGACTTTACGGTTAAAAAGCAGAATCTTATTAATCAAGTTAGTTTCCAGGATAGGCTGGCGGCCTAGAATGGTTTAACAGAATTCCAACAGGTTGACCTTCATGCTCAAACCAAGTATTAGGATGACTTTGTGAAAGAACAAATGAATGGGGAAACAAAAATATAAGATTCAAAGGGCTAGTACAGGGATACGAATTCTAAATTTTTTCATAGTGTGACAGCACGAAGGAGCACAAAGTGTTGTCAAGGAATTGGAGCTTGAGGACAGTAGGATGATTAGGCTTTAGAGACCCTTCTTTTTTGCATTGAGTTGAAATTACTGGTTTTGCAGAAATTCTATGAAAGAGAAGATGGGTAATTTTCCTTCACTTGAAGGGACTGGATCAGAGCCCTACTAGAGGGGATAGAGTTAGTTGGCTTATTTACATGGCTCAACTCCTATAGGCTCAATAATCTTAAAGAGCCTAAGAAGCTGAAGCAATGGTCTTTACGACATTCTTTGATTGTGCTAGGCACATGTTTCCACAACTGAGTTCCACCGGATCCAATTAGAAACCTTCAAAACTTATGTACCCACAACAACCTAAGAAATTACTCGCGACTATCCAAGCATATCATTTCTAGGGGATTCCAACCACAAGGTCCCTTCCACCTAGGAGTATTCATCGGTCTGAAACTAGACCAAAATCTTTTGATCCTCAAGTTTTGAACTGAAGAGAGGACCAAAATATTCTGTCCAAACTAAGTCGAACCAAGTTGGGCTTTTTTTCTCAAATGATCTTTTTTAATTAAAAATAACTAATGAAATGAATTAAAATTAAAACAAATAACATATCAATAAACCATAATCATTTGTCAAGTTCATAATTAATGAAATTAAGAAAAACAAACAATAATCTATTCAATACCAATCCCCAATTTGGAACATTTTTTGTACATGTCGGTCTGGTGGATCCGGGCTGGGTATCAGACTCCTACTTCCACCTATAGGAAATTCAGTGAGAAATCCCTATCAGCAACCAAAGGAGTTTCAAGCCAAAGGCTGGTAAGATCCAATGACCCTTACCGATAAGACTGGGAAAAGCACGAGTAGCTGGTCTATTTGCAGGTTCGTAGCTTAGATTGTGGTATAGTTGTAAGGAAAGAAAATGTCAATGAACCTAGGAAAGAGCTTATCCAAAAGAAACTGCCAAGGCAAGAAGGGACTGACTGACAGGTAGGAGTGTTCAGCAAAGTGGCATGAGATTAAAAAAATGTCAAGGGCAGCCACTGAAGTGGATTATGCAAAGTCAGCCATAATTCTCTATGATAGAACACGTTCCTACTAGAGTTTATTTCTTCTTTACCACTATCTCTTGACAATTTTCCACAAGATCAATACAATAATGAGATCCACAGATTAATCTACAGCATTCTCAATTAAGGGATAAATTTCTCAATGACCAAGAGAGGCAATATCCTCACTTCAAAGCTGTATGTTATCTCGTTTACCTCATTCATTATCAAAATAAATACTCTTGTTGTAATTCTATGAAAAGCAGAGAGGAAAGCAAAAAAACAAGATCATACGAGAACCACACTACACAGTTAAAATCCTCTCAAAAAACTAGCGAAGACATCTTTAAAGCAATCATGGGAATGTTTCTCTAGTTTCATTAAGGAATAGGAGATAGTGCTATGTACCATTTCGATGACCCTTCTTAGCATGAGACCACCAAATGAATGTCCACATGAAATAACCACAGCATCTTCAAGGAAAGCACCACTAAAATATTAAAAATGCATGGAAAAGTTAATGAACAGAAAAGAAAAAACAGTTATAATCACAAATAATCCAAAAGAATACAAGAGTTCCGCTTTTACGAACAACCATCTAACAAATCAACTCAATAGCCATCTTGATGGACAGATTTAGAAGGAAGAAAATAATGAGTAATATCTTAAAACACCACAGCAATTTCTAATTTGTATCTAATTGCACCTTGCATTTTCAATTGTAACAATCTGTAACCTGCCATATAAATGTCGCACTTGTTAAAATTTTCCATCAAATTTAACTGTGATTTAAACATTAGTTTGAACCAATAAATTTACGACATGTTCCATGGGCAAAAACATCCAAAGAAAATTAAAAGCTTAAAAAAGCCACTCTCCTTTCTCTTTCTTTTCTTCCTCCTCTTTCTGATTCTACCTCATAAATATCATTGATGACATAAGACCCCCAGAATCCTTGAAAATCTTGCAAAAATACCATAGCCTTAATCAAGACCACCACAAACTTTTCAAACAGATCCCTTCTCATGGAAACTGATTCTTGATGGAAAACATCTCCAGATTTTAAACCTCAAAACAGCCAAAAAAGGTAAACAAAAAGAAGGATCAAAGTCGAAATTGCTCATGATTTATATCAAACCCAAAAAAAAAGAAAAAAAAAGCTGTATGAGACCAAAGAAAATTCTCATCATTCGTATCCACTTTTTTTTAAATTTCCCTTCGACTTTCTTCATTATTTTAGCCTCTTCTGAAATGATCTTGCATGAATCTTCAATAAATTTCATGTGTTACTGAAAGTCAAACGTGATCTCTCCAATTATTCCAAGAAAAAAAATGCCAAATTCCAAAATCCTTTCTGGCTCCCACCAGCCATTGTGAGTAGCATCTTCTTATGTTATATACTTACACATCATATCCAAGGGGGCAGGAAAAGAAGATACTTCCAATAGATGGAAAACAAACATCGTCGGTACAAGAAAGAGCTGTAAGCAAAGAGATCATATGCGAACCATTCTCCCAATCAATCCAACAGATAAGCTATGATGACGACCATGAGAAAGAAGGGGCCAAAAAAACAAACTGATAAAAAGTTTACAGCTAAGCTTTGGCAAGAGCAAAGAAAATGAATCAATGAAAACAAAGACTAAAATCTCTTTTAGACCAAAGCCTACCAAAAATATGGTAGGAGGAAGGAGTAAGGCAGAAGAATAAAGAGGAAGGAGCAAAAAAAAAGGAACATAGATTATTTTAGGAATTTCCTTTGGGATATTTTTACCCTTGCACATGTCATAAATCTCTTGGTGTAAATTGCCACTTCCAAATCATGGTTAGATTAGACAGAAAATTTCAAGAGAAGGTGCAATTTGATAAACATTTATATTGCAGCATCCAGATTGTTACAATTAAAAATACAAGGTGTAAGTTGAGAGAAATTGAAAATTGCAAGACCGTTTTAAGATATTAGCCCTAATAATAACAAATAGATAATACGAAGAGCTAAAGTTTAAGTTACAGATATTAAGGTCTAGTTTTAAAATAGAGAAAATAGTAATAAATAGATTATTATTAAGGAGTGAACAGTTAAGTTCCAAAATGAGGACAGGTAACAGTTTGACTTGCAATTTTTTTAGCAATTTAGCAATGCGATGCCAAAATCTCTGCTCAATACTTCATGAACTTGATGCCAACAGTTTAAGTTCCAAAACAGTGCAGGATTTCCTATTCGACTTGCAATTTAGCTACACCATGCTGAAATCTCTGCTCAAGATTTCATGAACTTGATGCCAACAGTTAAGTTCCAAAATGGTGCAGGAACTAGGAGAGATAAAACGTGAGGAACCATCATAAATACAATTTGTTTAGATCATTACATGTGAAAGCATGGATTGTCGAAGTTGATGCTACATTGAAGCATCAATAGCAATATACAACTTTACAATATTCACCATATGAATTGAGAAAAAAGGCTTTATTTAGAAGGCCAACAAAAACCAACACATTAGGCAGAAAAAGCTGTTAAAAAGCACATCTTAAGCCATTGAAGTTGCAGATTCAGATAAAGGCTGCAGGTAAAATTCCAGTAATTATTTCTCGTACTGTTATGCGTTTAAAAATCAATAGCAAATCCACCAAGTGAGAATACTTGAACCAATATTACATTTCTGTTAACTATTCTGTTAGCTTATGTATTAACAGTGTAAGTGTGCTAGCAAATTACTAAATCACCCTCACTCTATGAAGCCATTTTCTATCTTTCCTCCTTATTCTCTTTCTTCTAGCTTACAATCCACATTGAAGTTGGTATTCACTTCTCAGCAAAATCCTAAGCCTCTTGAAGCTGTCTTCCACCACTAGATGGTTATCACCATTCATAGAGAGAGAACCACCTGAAGTGTGTTTCGCTTGTGAAGGAACTAAAGAAAAAACTATATATGTACCGTGCATGTATGAATTTTCAAGAGGCTTAGAATTTCAGAGATTGCGAGTATGAATTTTCAGTGATTGTGGGTATGCAGAAGATATGATGTTTAGGCAATTGAACTACTTGGTAGAGAGATTGAGAGAAAAGGAGAAGGGAAAAGATAGAGGTAATGGTGCCACAATGAAGATGACAAGTTAAGAATTTGGGATTGGAATTGGCTTCTAAGAGAAAGATGATGAAACGTTTTCTTTCATTTTCATTCGTGTTAGTACTATTCTTTTATTGTCATTGATGCTTTAATTTGCAGAGAAACAGATTGATGGGAAATTAGGAAAAAGAATAAGAAGTGGGATCTGGTTCAGCAAGGCTGGTAAGAAGATTAATAAAGTGCATAAGGCTCTTTAATAGCACTTGAGTCTGGACATTTAAATTTGTAGGATTCATAAGTAAAGATGAATAGAGGTTCGCAAAGATTTGAATACATAAACTAAACAAGGCTCTATATGAACTCAAGCAATTGCTAAGAATATAGTTTGGCAAGTTCACAAGAACAATGATAGATTTAGGATTTAAGCAAGCTCAAGGAGACCATGCTCTCTTCATCAAACACTCAGGAACAAGACGAGTTACAACTCTCCTAATATAGTTGATTACATTATCATAATAGAAGATGATGAGAAAGAAAAAATAATAGTAAAATACTCCCTAACAAAAGAATTTGAGATAAAAAAGTTTGGTATGTTGAAGTACTTTCTGAAAATTTAACTTGTCTGCTCAAATCCCGAGATCTTTATTTCTCAGTGAAAATACATTCATAACCTGTTGAAAGACTCAGGCAAGAGAGTATGCAAACTAGCTAACACTCCCATTGAGCCTAATCACTAGTTAGGAATAGTAGAAGAAAATACTCCAGTAAATAAGGAAACATGTCAGAAATTAGTTGGAAATTGAAGTCATCCGCTCAAAAAATTTGGGACTTTTATTTCTTATTAGTAATACATTCATAACCGGTTGAGAGACTCAGGCAATCTAGCATACAAACCAACTAGCACCCTTAAATTAGAAATAAAAGAAGAAAATGATCTATTAAACAATGAAATGAATCATAAATTAGTTAGAAGATTGACATACTTAACCCACATGAACCAAATATTACTTATATAATGAGTGTTATAAGTCAATTCATGTACATTTCGAAAGAAGTACACCTACAAGTAGCCTACAGAATACTGACTGCATTACGTAAAAAAGTCACATGAAAAAGGAATTATGTCTTAAAAAAATGATAAACAGCTCATACAAGTCTATGCTGATGCAGATTATGGAGGATTAGTTGTACACAAAAGATCTAGCACAAGATATTGAACTTTCCTTGTGGGCAACCTAGTCACCTATGAAAAGATCATGCACCTATATTGTGGCAACAAATTAGGCAAAAAATCTCACACAATCCGATACAATATTAACCATCTTTTAAACAAAATCTTATCTTAGTGTTGGTCACTATCAAATTTCCATTATGCCACATCAACTTAATTTTGCTATATCACCTCAATTTCTTGCCATACTAGCTTCTAACAAAATGACAAAAGTACCCTTACCATTAGACATATTAAGTGAATTATAAAATTTACAGAATTCCGAGCTGAAATGGCCACCAAAGTGCTTGAGCAAATTCTCCACTCCTCTTTTTTTAAGATAAGAATATTACTTTATTTCATTATTTATTAAATCTTTTTTAAAAAATTAAAAAATATATTTTATTGAAAAGAAGCTCTATTAATAGGAGAAAGAAAAGCATGACAAAATAAGAGAATGAGACATCATCCTCAAAGAACCACAAAATCATGAGGCTACAAAAATTGAGTAAAGGTCCCAATTTTGAAAGAGCTCTGAGATGAGACTGCCATAGTAATTTTATTTCATAAAATTATTAGATAACTTTTCTGATAAACTATATAAACTTTAGTTCGTTAATTGATACCAAAAAAAATCAATTTATAAAGAAATTAAGTACTGAATGAAACTATTTAACGTGGAAAACTAATAAATTAGGTAAATTTTGGGTCATTAACAAATTTTTCATTTAGGAGATGAAGGATATTATGGTAAATTTGATTTTACTGTTAAATAAATATAATCTTTGTCTGGACTCTTAAATGATCAATACTTAATTTTGAATATTTCTCTTTCTAAAGTAGGGAAATCTTGGTCTTGACTCCTAAATGGCAATGGGGATTAGATTTTTTCTGAAGTAATGTGGTTTACATATTAGAGGAGAACAGAAGAAGGCTTATACAGCTTACGCATAATTTCCTTTAGCAACTCAACTACTTGAATTTATATTTCCATTGTTCTTCTTTGATTGAAAAAATCTAAGAGAAGGGTAATACACAAAAGAGCACAGGATAAGGAATCATCTATGCAAAAACAAAGAATCAAGAAATATAAGAAAAATATAGTAAAAAGCCTTCGGATAAAATAGCACTATTCTAAGCAAATGACCAACAAACCAGAATAGCCCCTTCTGATGCCTCCTTATGCTCCTTGGTTTTCCCCATAACCATAAGGCAGAAGAGATAAAAATCTCTAAATTAGGGACAAACACCAACTCAATCCCAAATAAAGAAAACAATCTGTTCTGCAAATTCCATGTCTCAGAACAAAAGAGAAAAAGGCAACATTTGCTCCCTGAAGTATAAAAACACATCCAACAAATGTCTAGAGAAAGAACTTGATGAGATCTCCAACTCTCAAGAATATTAATGGTGTCAATCCTACTCAAAACAGCAATCCACATAAGAATTTCAACCTGAGCTTTTCCTGATCTCCTCTTTTCTCTACCTCCTTTTGGTTGTTCTATCATTCACTTCCTAACTCTCCCAACGAAAAAAACAAGAAAAAAAAAAGGAACAACCTGGAAAGGCCTAACATTTCCCTCCTTCCTTTATAACCCACAAGGTAGCCAAGGGATAACCAAGATCTTATCACTCTAAAAAAAAACCTTGCCAAGCCCAAAGCTCATCCAAAACCAGCATATCAGGAACCCGTAACAAATTAGAAAAGCCAGGTAGCCTGTTGGTGGATATTACATAAAAGATCTATCCTGGAACTATAAGTCATTAACTCTCCCAACACCAAAAAAAAAAAAAAAGAAAAAAAAAACAACCTGGAGAGGCCTAAAATTTCCCTCCTTCCTTTATAACCCACAAGGTAGGCCAAGGGATAACCAAGATAGATCTTTTCCTCCTCTTATCACTGTAAAAATACCTTGCCAAGCCCAAAGCTCATCCAAAACCAGCATATCAGGAACCTGTAACAAATTAAGAAAGGCAAGGGCAACCTCCAAAGAGGGAAGAGAAGGAACACCACAAGATTAAATAATTTTGGGACTCCATAGCCCTTTTGCACAGATAACAGGCATCACCATTACCTTCCCTCTTTGTTGGATATTGTCAATAATAACGATTCTCCCTCTAGCAGCTACCCATGCAAAAAGGAATTATGGGAATGCATTCATCTTCCAAATTTGTCTCCAAGAAAACCACACTACTTAAAAAGGGGGCAAAGGAGGTACAAGTATAATTTGTTAACAAAAGATCCATTTGCTATTTCAGAAAAAAAAAAAAAAAAAAGATCCATTTGCACCCACTTTCAACAAAGGTCATCTAGCCTCAAATGGTCCATGGAACAGAAGGAAAGATGATACAAGAGGGTAACATATTTATCTTCCTCCTAGCCATTCAATTTCCACAAGGTCAATCTCCCACACCACTTGGCCATATCCATAGAAAAGCACCAAGACACCAAAACCTCCTTCTAGCCAAGGAATACACAACAAGAAATTGATGCAGTAAAAGCCCATGCCCACTGAATTCATCCTCCCAAAACCTCCCTAGCAAATAAGGTGGTTACAAGTCGTGACAAACAATGCACTTAAAGAGTCTTTTCTTTGGGAGACAAAAAGAATGGAATCACGAGAGAAGGGATGATGCACTAATTCATCATAATCTTTGTAGAAGTAGCATACTTCAACAAACTGATGAGAATTAGGACACCAACAAAATACATCCACCGGAATCACTTCCCAACTTCAGCTAGGTA